TTGTTACATGCGTGCGAATTCGACATATAATTTACGAAATTTTGTGTTACTCAGTCATTTATGGGAGGGGGCTGTATGTTCAATGGCCTGTGAGTTACACATTCTATAATTTATTGGTTCATGAGTTTGTTTTTCATATGGAACCTTTCATGTTGCAGATACAACAGTCTTCCAGCAGTTACACCATTAAAAATGTCTGAGGAGGAGCACTGCTATATGTTCCTTTACCCAATTATCCATCCTTTCTTTCTTGGCCCTCAAAAGGAATATAAACTTTTGCTGAATCATTCCACAGGAGGCTCAAGACAGAGACCTGACTTTGCCTGTGTGGTGGGTGATATACCAATTTTAATCTCAGAGATCAAACCCCTTGGATATACACCACTACAACAAAGAAAGGATAACTTGAGGATACAGTTGCAAGCCAGAAAATATATTAATCAGCAATTGTGGACAAAGCTGAAGCAGCTATTTTTGCAAATATGGGTATGTATTCTTGGCAAAGAATGAAATTTTTTTAGATACTAATACTGAACTATGGTTTGTTGATGGTAGGCACACTGATGGAATCATACTTCATGGACCTGAAATATGATGGGCTTTATCACTCAGGCCATTTCTTACAACCAGATTAGTGACTGACAAAACTACTGTTATGGTCAGATGGTCTGGGGTTTGGGAGAGCAATTAATCTTTTGTGTAGGGGTGTTCTTCCAACTGGGAGATGTTACCAGATTAGCTTCGTGCTACCCTTAATATGATAGTTGTTCAATTTTTTTAATTCAAACTATGTCATTAGCATCCTCCTTAGAAAGTAAAAATAAACTTGTAAGACTTGAATGATTCCTTACAAAGAAATCACCAACATAAAGTCAACTCAAATTGACAACATCTATTATGCTGATTATAAGTGAGGAAATGACAATAATGCTTTCACTACTTGGAAATGACACCAACAATAACGATGACATTAATCAGTTCAGAAGATACTCCAAATTATTGTTACTCTCTCTATGGATTCTGCTCCACATGTGGAATACTCCGATGTAGTCCAATGTGGTGCATTTGCAGTCATAAACAATTATCCAATAGATGGACTAGTAACAATATAAATAAGCGACTTGATGAGTTTATTAAGAAATCTCAATTACAAACAACCTCATACTCAGCAAATGATTCCATTCGATTGTATTGATGATAAGAGGAAATATGGTTTATACCTGAATGGTACACATGCATCTGTTAAATTGATTCCACTTGAGACACATGATTTATATTGTGCTGAGGTAAACTATTTTACTTATGCATCATGTTTATTGAATCGTTTAAATAATTATTGACTTATTATCATGTATCAATTCACTAGTTATGTAATGAGCATCCAGATATTCTTACCACCCCACCAATGTTTGGGTTACCATTGGATTCACATATTAATAACCCAGAAGCTCTTTCAAAGGAGTAGTAGAGAGAGCACACTTATGAACTATGACAATATTATGTTGAATCCATTCCTTTTGTTTCTCAATCAAATAAGCTTCAACTGCAATGAGAAGATCAAGCATTTCAAACTTGCTAGCTCCATCCAAAAGACTAATCCAACCTGCATGTTTGCATGAATCATAGAAAATTTGCTCAGTATAGATGAACCTACAAAAGAAGCAATATTAGATTTAAGTTGTAATGAGCATTAGTTATAGTATTAGTATTGTTGTAACTCAGATGGGGACTGTTTCAGTTCTGGACCGAATGTCATGGGTTCAGAACTGCAACAACTGAGTTCTGAACTGAGACAGGTCCTAAACTCAGACACAACAGTTGTATTGATTTGATAATTCAGAATGTTATTCATGTTTTAACGATGAGGTTTACCTAAGCAGAATTTCAAAAACATCAGGTGACACATCTTCCAATGTCATAGCGGCCTTTTGAATCTCCGCATTTTCGGTTAGGCTATTCTCAAGAATGGGTTTCGTGTACACAACACTAGTTAATGAAAATTAAGAACTTTTTAGCTTATGAGTTTTTCAATGTAGACAAATCACAGCTCCACAAACACGCCGTATATATACTTCAAAAAATTCTGTATCTGTATAAACTAAGCTATATGCAATTCATTGAATGCTTGCAATTACAGCCTAAGCCTCGTAAACTGAGAACATTTAGCAGCACATCAGTACAGAAGCAATTCGAATAAAATCGAAATAGGGAGTATTAATATTGTCAAAGTAGTCTTTGAGGATTATGCAAACAATTTCTCTACACTACATTCTTGCGCTTCAGTTAACGTGTGAGCCAAGCCTTTCACCTTATTACTGTCTCAAAGCGATGAGGAAATCAGTTGATCAATGAAACCTTATAACATTATCTGACATTGATTCGAGAATGCATTCTATGAAAAAACAACTAACAAGCTTACGATTGGAAAATATTCCCACTAGTGTTCACATGTCTTTCCAATGGCAGATGTTTTGATAATCACTAGCTTCGATGGCATATGCTGTCGTATATTGTACGAAAGATCTTCGTGAAATTTCACCAACTTTCTTGGTAATACGATACGATTATACTACTACTACACCGACATTACCCTCGTACAACACTACTATAAAAAAAAAGAGCATGGTATTTTACAAAACTTGGGAGATACTATACACGGGGTGGTACTTTTATCGGATAGTGGTATTATACTAGGGGGTATTATGATAGGAGTATGTAAATCGCTATTTTATTGGCTGTAACGTACTT